GCCACACCAACGTAAAAGGCAGCTTTGCAGACCTGCAGGCACAGACCCATGTGGAGCGGTGGGTAGTGGTGCATAGTGAGAAAGCCCTGCCAGGAGCAGAGGGCCAGGGACTTACGCTGCAAGTTCTTGTTCTCACGCTTCAGCGTTTCCAGGTGGTCCAAGGACTCCTCATAGGCATTCTTCATCTTAAACAGCTCCGTGCTGAGAGTGCGAGCCTCCTTCTGGGAAGCTTCCAGCTCAGTCTGTGTTTCCTCATACTTCTGCTTCCATTCTGCCAGGATCTGAAGAGAAACGGGGCGTGAGTATGGATGTGGCAATGAGGAGGGGATGCTCTGCCCAGGAGCCCCAGGTCTGGAGCCCAAAAGACCTTGTCAAAGTTCTTCTGCTTCTTATCCAGAGCTGCGCAGGCAGCATTCGATCGCTCCACGTCAATCATCAGGTCCTCCACTTCGTTCTGCAGCCTCTGCTTGGTCTTTTCCAGGGAGGCACATTTGGCATTGACAGCTTCGACATGTTCCTCTGCATCCTGCAGGCGCTGTGCCAGCTTCTTCCTGGGAGGTGGTAAGTACAACTCATAGTTAGCAAGTAATGAGAAATTTGTACTGTGGTGCTTTTCTCAACAGCATGCTTAGCCACTTCAGAGTCTGGTCCACATTCCTCTTCTATTTGTCTACATACTACATGGTTTCTGTCTGCCATTCTCTGCCTCCTACACATTTACCTGCTTTTTTTTGTCCAACCCACATGCGTTATAGGATGTATTTCCTATCCTCCTGCCACCCCACCCCAAAGCAGAACATTGGCTTCTTCCTGACAATATCACAGCGGCCTCCTCCGATTTCCATTCTTAGTCTCTGCCAGCCTTCCCCGCATTCCCCACGTACTTGGCCTCCTCCAGCTCCTCCGTGCGCTGAATAGCGTCCGTCTCATATTTGGTTCTCCACTGGGCCACTTCGCCGTTGGCCTTGGACAGGGCACGCTGCAGCTCCCCCTTGGCTTCTTGCTCCTCATCATATTGTTCCCGGAGCAAGTCACAGTCATGGCGAGCAGACTGCAAGGCGTGGGCCAGGGCACTCTTGGCCTGGGTGAAAAAGAGGCAACAATGAATGGAAATATCGTGGGGAAGCTCCTGACTGAAATGTTATTGGACACTGGATATTCTTCTATGCAAGATGACAACAATATGTTGAATGGGGAAAGAAGCTGGGACTGACAGAAGAAATAATGGATAAACTACAGGGAATAGCTAACATGAGAAGACTTGGACTGAATTACCTAAGTGTTTTTTTTCCTGTCTCATCATGATAGTTCTGTACTTTCATAAATGTCTGAAACACCTCTTAGAAAGGAGGAATCTAATGGATAAGACGGACTTTGGAAAGCCTTCTCACCTTTATCTCTTCCTCTAGGTGCCTCTTGAGTTCCTCAATCTGTTGGGTAAATGCCTGCTTGCCTCTTGACAGCTGTGAGATCAGAGCATCCTTCTCTTCCACCTGGCGTGAATATTCACCTGGGAAAGTTTGCAGATATACAAGCCTTTTATTGCCATTGATGACAGTATTGTGGACATTTGGGGCTGTAAAACCAGATAGTTAGCAGACCTTGCAGAAGCTTAGGATCACATTTCATGCATTACAGGGCAGACAAAGGCTGTTGGACAGACCATATGCCCAGAAGGGTCGTCTCTGCAAAAACTCTCTGACTTTATTCATTTGCACACCAGACGTGTGTATGTGTTACCTGATTCTGTCTGCAGACGAGCTCTTTGAGCATTGAGGTCATTGATCATGCGCTGATGCTCTTCTTCCTTTGTCTTAATCTCACTTAGCTGATCTTCCAGTGTGCGACACGTCTTCTCCAGACTTGCCTGTGTGGCAACATAGGGAAGGGGAGGGATTAACCATTCACACTCAATGATAGCAGGTGCAAGAAGTTGTACTGTATTCCACTGGTTCAATGAGCCTATAAGGTATTTGTGTACCTTGGCTTTGGAGACGGACTCCATGTTACTGGCCAAGTCGTCAATCTCCATCTTCAGCTCACTCTTCTCCTTCTCCAGCTTCTGCTTCACTCGTTGCAGGTTGTCGATCTGCTCCCCAAGCTCAGCTGTGCTGTCCGCGTGCTTCTTCCGCAGGGCGGCAGCCGTGGCTTCGTGCTGCAGTGTGGCCTCTTCGAGGTCACGGCGCATCTTCTGAAACTCTGCCTCACGCTTCTTGTTCATATCGATCTGAGCCGCGGTAGCCCCTCCTGCTTCTTCCAGGCGCTCGCTGATCTCCTCTAGCTCCCGCGAGAGGTCAGCCCGATGCTTCTCTGCTTTTGCCCGAGAGGCACGTTCAGCCTCAATTTCCTCCTCCAGTTCCTCAATG